GGTGTTCCGGGCACGTCCCACCGGGAGGAGGCCCCGGGGAAGACCCAGGACAAGCTGGAGAGACTATGTCTCTCAGCTGGCCTGGGAACGCCTTGGGGTCCCCCCGGACGAGCTGGAGGAGGTGTGTGTGGATAGGGAAGTCTGGGCGTCTCTGCTTAGACTGCTGCCCCCGCGACCCGGCAACGGATAAAGCGGAAGAAAATGGATGGATGGAACTTTGTCACTAGTCACTTTACCTGTTATCAGTACTACTACAGTATTACATATCTGATATTTACTGTTATCAGTACTACTGTATTATTTCATATCTGATAATTCTGCCTTTCACCGTCACTTTACCTGTTGATATCTTACTGTATTATTCATATCCATCTTATAATTCTCCCTTTCAAGTCACTTTACCTGTTGATATTATTTCTGATGTTTATTCTGCTCATATTCATATTCTCATATTCCATCCATCCATCCATTTTCTTCCGCTTTATCCGTTGCCGGGTCGCGGGGGCAGCAGTCTAAGCAGAGACGCCCAGACTTCCCTATCCACACACACCTCCTCCAGCTCGTCCGGGGGGACCCCTAGGCGTTCCCAGGCCAGCTGAGAGACATAGTCTCTCCAGCGTGTCCTGGGTCTTCCCCGGGGCCTCCTCCCGGTGGGACGTGCCCGGAACACCTCCCCAGGAAGGCGTCCAGGAGGCATCCTGAACAGATGCCCGAGCCACCTCAACTGGTTCCTCTCGACGTGGAGAAGCAGCGGCTCTACTCCGAGCTCCTCCCGTGTGACCGAGCTCCTCACCCTATCTCTAAGGGAGCGCCCAGCCACTCTGCGGAGGAAGCTCATTTCGACCGCTTGTATCCGCGATCTCGTTCTTTCGGTCATTACCCACAGCTCATGACCATAGGTGAGGGAGGGAACGAAGATTGACCGGTAAATTGAGAGCTTTGCCTTTCGGCTCAGCTCCCTCTTTACCACAACGGTCCGATACAGAGACCGCATCACTGCGCACGCTGCACCGATCCGCCTGTCAATCTCACGCTCCATCCTCCCCTCACTCGTGAACAAGACCCCGAGATACTTGAACTCCTCCACTTGAGGAAGGACCTCTCCGCCCACCTGGAGAGGGCAAGGCACCTTTTTCCGGTCGAGCACCATGGCCTCGGATTTGGAGGTGCTGATTCTCATCCCAGCCGCTTCACACTCGGCTGAAACCGTCCCAGTGCATGTTGCAGGTCCTGGTTCGTTGGAGCCAGCAGGACGACATCATCCGCAAAAAGTAGAGATGAAATCCTGTGGCTCCCGAACCGGACCCCCTCCGGCCCCTGGCTGCGCCTAGAGATTCTGTCCATAAATACAGTGAACAGAACCGGTGACAAAGGGCAGCCTTGGCGGAGGCCAACATGCACCGGGAACAGGTCTGACTTACTGCCGGCAATGCGAACACAGCTCTGGCTCCGGTCATACAGGGACCGAACAGCCCTCAGCAGAGGACCCCGGACCCCGTACTCCCGGAGGACCCCCCAAAGGACACCCCGGGGAACACGGTCGAACGCCTTCTCCAAATCCACAAAGCACATGTGGACAGGTTGGGCGAACTCCCATGAACCCTCGAGTATCCGATGGAGAGTATAGAGCTGGTCCAGTGTTCCGCGACCGGGACGAAAACCACACTGCTCCTCCTGAATCCGAGATTCGACCATCGGACGTAGCCTCCTCTCCAGTACCTTGGAGTAGACCTTACCGGGGAGGCTGAGGAGTGTGATCCCACGATAATTGGAACACACCCTCCGGTCCCCCTTCTTGTAGAGAGGGACCACCACCCCGGTCTGCCACTCCATTGGCACCGCCCCCGATCGCCACGCGATGTTGCAGAGACGTGTCAGCCAAGACAGTCCTACAACATCCAGAGACTTTAGATAGTCAGGACGGATCTCATCCACTCCCGGCGCCTTGCCACCATGGAGGCTACCAACCACCTTGGTGACCTCAGCCAGGGAGATGGAAGTATCCGCCCCAACATCCTCAGCCTCTGCCTCCTGGACGGAGGACGTGACGGGGGGATTGAGGAGAACCTCGAAGTATTCCTTCCACCGCCCGACAATATCCCCAGTCGAGGTCAGCAGCCCTCCACCCGCACCATACACGGTGTTGGCAAAGAACTGCTTCCCCCTCCTGAGGCGCCGGACGGTTTGCCAGAACCTCTTCGAGGCCGACCGATAGTCATGCTCCATGGACTCTCCGAACTCCTCCCAGTCCCGGGTTTTTGCCTCTGCAACAGCCCGGGCCGCGGCACGTTTGGCCTGCCGGTACTGGACAGCTGCCTCAGGAGTCCCACGAACCATCATTGCTCGATAGGACTCCTTCTTCAGCCTGACGGCATCCCTTACTGCCGGTGTCCACCACCGGGTTCGGGGATTGCCGCCGGGACCAGCACCAGAGACCTTGCGACCACAGCTATGAGCCGCCGCATTGGCGATAGAGGAAGAGAACATGGTCCACTCGGACTCGATGTCCCCCTCCTCTGCCGGGACCTGGGAGAAGCTCTCCCGGAGGTGTGAGTTGAAAGTCCGTCTGACAGGGGGCTCACCAAGACGTTCCCAGCAAACCCTCACTACACGCTTGGGCCTGCCAGGTCTGACCGGCCTCCTGCCCTGCCAGCGGATCCAACTCACGACCAGGTGATGATCGGTTGACAGCTCCGCCCCTCTCTTCACCCGAGTGTCCGAGACACGCGGTCGAAGGTCAGATGATACGACTACAAAGTCGATCATCGACCTCCGGCCTAGGGTGTCCTGGTGCCACGTGCACTGATGGACACCCTTGTGCTCGAACATGGTGTTCGTGATGGACAGGCCGTGACTGGCACAGAAGTCCAACAACTGAACACCGCTCGGGTTCAGATCAGGGGGGCCGCTCTTCCCGATCACCCTCTCCAAGTGTCACTGGCATTTCCCACATGGGCGTTGAAGTCCCCCAGGAGAATAACGGAGTCCCCGGGCGGTGCACTGTCCAGTACCCCTCCCAAGGACTCCAAGAAGGCCAGGTACTCTGCACTACCGTTAGGCCCGTAGGCCGTCACAACAGTGAGAGACTTGTCCCCCACCCGGAGACGGAGGGACGCGACCCTCTCATTCACCGGGGAGAACTCCAACACGTGGCGGCTGAGATGGGGGGCAATGAGTATGGCCACCCCAGCTCGCCGCCTCTCCCCGCGGGAAACACCAGAAAAGTGGAGCGTCCAACCCCTCTCAAGGAGTTGGGTTCCAGAGCCCAAGCTGTGTGTGGAGGTGAGGCCGACTATCTCTAGTCGGTATCGCTCAACCTCCCCCACAAGCTCGGGCTCCTTCCCCCCCAGTGAGGTGACGTTCCACGTCCCAAGAGCCAGATGTTGGGTGTGTGGACTGGGTCGTCGAGGTCTCCGCCTTCGACTGCTGCCCAGTCCTCTCTGCACCTCGCCACCACGGACCCCTCTGCAGGTGGTGAGCCCACAGGAGGGACTGCCCACGTCATCCCTTCGGGTTGAGCCCGGCCGGGCCCCGTGGGCTAAGGCCCGGCCACCAGGCGCTCGCTTGCGAGCCCCGACCCCAGGCCTGGCTCCAGGGTGGGGCCCCGGCTGCGCCATGCCGGGCGACGTCACGGTTTTCGTTGTCGTGCTGTCCATGGTTGGCTTCGGACTGCGCTTCGTCTGACTCGTCACTTGAGACCTGTCTGCCATGGGAGACCCTACCAGGGGCATGAAGCCCCAGACAGCATAGCTCCCAGGATCATCCGAGTGCTCAAACTCCCCCACCACGTTAAGGTGGCAGTCCAAGGGGGGAGTAAATAAGATTCTCATATTCTCCGCTGCTAATGTATAATATAGACATCTGTAAATACTCCGAACCAAGTGCAATTATACCCCAGAGTTTATCTTATTTTATTTTATTTTATCTTAAATTTATTGTCTATTATCTTAAATAATAGACTTTGATGTGTGCAATCTGAGTGCTCTCATTTCCTTTCTCTGCTGTAATGTGCAACGATGACACTGGAATTTCTCCACTGTGAGACTAATAAAGGTTTATCTTATCTTATCTTAGATAGCGGTCCTGCTGCTGGGTTGTTGACCTCGGTTGGCCCCCTCCTGGTCTACTGGTGTACTCGCCGGTCTCCTGGTATCTCCTTCATGCTCTGGACACTGCCCTGGGAGACACAGCAAACAGTCTTGCCACAGCACGAATGGACGTGCCATTTTGGATGAGCATAACTCCCTGAGCAACTTTTTAGTGGGCCCTAAGATTTTGTGAGCAGTGTATTCACAGTCTATGTTTTGGACCATGCAGATGGAGTGTGAGGGCAAACTCTCTGTAGGCCTTTGTGTTCTCATGCCCCTGCTTTTTCATAAAGCCTATCTGAAGATCTGAAATTTCATGAGAATAATTTAATAAGTCCCCTTCAGATAACAACAAGGAGTTTAATAAGAATAAATTAGATGTAGATACATTTCAAAGTGCTATTTTTGTCTTACCCGAGTAAAATTCAAGCCTCTCTTTGAGGTCTTCATTAACAAGGGCAAGGTCCCTCAAATCTCCCAAAAGACTCTTTACTGTGGTCTTTGCCCTTTTCTCTCTGGCCATGGAGTTCTTCCTCTGTCGCTCCAGACTTGCTAAGGCTTCACTGAGTCTGGCCTTAAGAGCGGTAGGAGAGGTAGGCAAGGCATATCCATGATCCTAGTAGAAAGAGGGATGAATATGGTTTGTCTCATTTCACACACATCAGTTTGATGACCCACATTCTTTCTTAAAGTCATCTTTCCTTTCAAAGCTGGTATTGACATGTCTAATACTCACATCATTTGGCTGTGGTTGTGCGGTTTGAGCTTTTGGGGCCTCCTGAAAGGCCACTGACAGGCTCTCTTCAGCTCTTCTGGAGGTAGACGTAGTCCTGCCCTTTTGCGGCTAAAACGGAAGCATAGTACTTGAACAGAAATTATATATGTATAATATTGTAACCAGGTGGGTTACTTATGGGTTCTTTCCTACGGTCAGTGAATGCACCCGCTCCCTCGCTGTCTGCTTACCAGCTGCGTCAGCTAATTACAATTAGTGTAAAACCGGTGGCCACGCCAGAGCAGCACACCTCTGGATCTTCGGGCTGGTTGTGCCGTGCGGTGGGTCGTGTGAGTGGGGCAGACGAGTGAGTAAAAATGTTGCATGTTAGTTTTAGCATAAACAAATATTAAACACTACTGTGTCACGTCAGGTGGTTGTTCTGCTGGTGTCCGCTTCAGGCCCGAGCTTCTCTATGCGCCGGGTTGACGCGCATGCGAGGTATGGCGCGTTCCTCACAAGGTGTAGTTGGTCTAAGTGTAGTTCATTCTAACCTGTCTGTGCTCTACCCAACAGTTTGGTTTGGCTCATTAAACCTCTTGTGAATAGTGTTTGGCTCACAAAATCTTAAGACTGTAGATCGTGTTTACAGTTTAGCACTCAAAATTACCTCTACAAGTAAAAGCACTTTAGGACAGTGCTGAAAATCTGTAGGATCAAGTAATTGGGGGATTTAGTTTGGTTTGGGATTTGTTTCTAATTTTCTTTAATTCCCCCAGTTGCCTTCTCTTACATGTTTAGTGTTTGGTTTTCCTTCACTGCTATATTTTAAAGTTTTTATTAACATTAAATAAAAAGGTTGATTTTATCTATTGGTGTCAAAAATAAAACTTGTATCTTTTCCACATTTCTGCTTCGTTCATGTTTTGTTACCAGACGTCCCTGCTATCTTCTTAGTGGGACCCCTGGCCCTCCCTTGGTTACAATATATAATAGAATGGGCTATATTAATGCTGACAGCCTTATGGTGATAAACCCACTCTTTGGAGATGAACCGGGAATCTGAAGATGGATGGAACAACACCATCTCTGAGTCGGATAATCTGACCTGTCCTGTCCAAGTCGTCCTGCCTAAAATGCTCATTGCAAAGCACGGATGAATCACTTGCAGTGAATCCTTCCGTCCTCAGAGCCACTTCTTCCTACCATTTCATTCTATGGGAAACCTTTGCAAAAAGAAAACTAAAAACCTATATAAAACCTCATTTCCTATTATTCCTAATTACTTCTTTCCATTTTCCTCCTTCAAATGTGTTAGAACATTTCTTCAACAAAACTCGCATTTAGATAATGAACCAAAGCTGCTGAAATTGTGACTTTGCTTGTTTGCTATTCAATAGACGTTGTAGTAGACTGTGTCTGATTTTGTTGGTGACATAAATACAGTTCAGTAATATTCCATTCACAAAGTACAACCAATAATAATGTAAACTCTTACTTGTGAAAAGTAATCCCACGAGCTCTGTTTTGAATAATCCGCCTATTTTGATAGTCTTACGCCACACAGTGCTCAGGAGGACCGGTCCATGATGGCGGCCGTATTTATCGTGCCTAAGCAGCCAATGCGGCGTCTACTCTTTATATGTCTATGGTCACTGATGCTCCGTCACAGTGCAGTTCCCACCGTGACCAGTAGTTGGCATATATTTCGAAGAGTGGGTAGAATGTCGACTGAGCGCTGCAGAGGAAGAATCAATCCACTGTTGAAGTAAACGCAGCTCAACACGTGTGATCTTTTTGTTTTATCACAGTCGATACTTCACGGAGAACCGTTTAGCTCGGCAAACTCTAAAAACAGCCTTCCGTGCGTGCGACTGCACCAGATTTGGTGTGTGAGCTTAGCATTTGACATGAAGTGACACTTTGTCCGTGACTATTACTGGAACCTTTTCTGCGACCCCCCCCCCCCACTCAGCGACAGTCTTCCTCAGATGTTCTGCCAGGTCGTGTCCAGGCCTCTCATCTTTTTAAGCGGGAGAACTTGCATAAATACTTTTTTGCCCCACTGTTTATCAAGTTTCTGGTAGGATTTCAAATTTTATAGTCCAGATTATTGTGAAAGAAAATATTGCGATTTCACAATTATTCACAATTTTACAAGTAGTAAAAATAAATAAATGCAGGAATGTATAGTACAGACCAAAAGTTTGGACACACCATCTCATTCAAAGAGTTTTTTATTTTCATGATTATAAAAATTGTAGATTCACACTGAAGGCATCAAAACTATGAATTAACTCATGTGGAATTATGTACGTACTAAAAAAAATATGAAAATATGTCTTTTATACTAGCTCCTTTTGTTCTGATTACTGCTTCGCACAGCCATCACTCTCCTTATTGGTCAAACCGCCCTTACACAGCCTGGTGTGAATCTACAGTCAATAGTCATTGAATGAGAAGGTGTGTCCAAACTTTTGGTCTGTACTGTATATAGCCAAATGGTTTTGTAGTAGAAGTGGTAGTAGTAGCCATCATCATAGTAGTAGTAGTCTTCGTGTTATGTCTAAGACTATATCCACACGAAAACAAAACGCTTATAATTTCAGAAACTTTTTCTGTAAACACGGAGTTAGCTCAGTAAATGTGTGCGTCCATATGAATGTAGTCAATACGCCTGAAAACGCTGTGAAACTATGCCAGACCTGTTGGTGGCGCTGTGACGCAATGACGGGATCAAGCCCAAACTTCCTTGACGGGAACTGGGCATGCGCAGAATTTTGTAAACAGACAACATGGCGAGTGGGCGAGCTGGTACTACATTAGTATGGACGGACGATGAGGTTGAACTGTTGCTTCGGGTCACACTGGATTACAAAACCTACAAGCTACAAGAAAGTGTCATTATTTTCGGAGTGCGGCGCATGCGTGCTTTAACAAGAGGCGGGGCGATGACGCAAGCGTCTCAGATACATTGCGGAGAGGCAGTAACCACGGAGCGGCATATACGGAGTTTTGAAATCTTTCCACTCTGGGACCTACTTTCAAAAATGTTCGTTTACACCCCCCCAAAACGCCGGCCTCGTATGGACGATACACTGGATTGATAAAGTATTTTTGCGTTTAGGCCTGAGCTTGACTTCGTGTGGATAGGGCCTAAGTTTGTTTTGTTGACTAATGATACATGCTACTGTCCCATTAAGAGCGGCTCCCGTCAACGTGCGGTCGGCACTAGTACTTTCACATTTGTAGAATCCTTTGCATTAATGTGCACCCTGAGACAGTTTTGGCGCCTATTTCTGAACATTTGGACAACTTTATTGACAATGATGCAGTTTTATTACCTTGACTTGGACATACATTAAAAGATGATTATGGCCCCTTTCGCTGTAACTTTTCGACGTCAGGATTTGCACGTTGAAATTCCATCAGCGACAACAACACCTGGCTCATCTTTTGGATTCCCAAAGTGATCCCACACTTGCTGTTGTTTTTTTGGGATACAACTCTGGGGGAGCTTGTCCTGGACCTTCCATTTACCGGTGAGTCTGCTCTGTGTGCAGCGGCCCGTACTGCACCACGCTGCAGAGCTTTTCGTACCAGCGGTAAACCGTGCAAACAGGCCTCTGCAACACACTGAGGCCCTCTCTGCCTTAAATATAATGCTAAAAAAAACTCACAAACATGACCCAATAGGAATGAAATCAAGCGTACACCAACACTAGCAGTATGTTCTCCACAATCACAACACGAGGAGAATTCACTCAGCCTTTAAAATCTCTCTCACATAAAGCCGAACATGTGCGCTCCGTAAATGTTAGCAGACACTGGGATATCCCCGCGGCTCACACCTGGCCCTGGCGTTACAATACAAACACACACGGCCATTTCTGTGTCAGATATAATCACCATTGCATCGTTATCTAATGGGGAACAGAGTGGAAACTTCAGACGAGCAAAACAACAAACAAAAATGCTAGTCTTCGGGGACTGAAAATGAAAGTGGTTGAAAATAGTTCTGCTTAAATTGCACGTATACATTTTCTTTTGGATGAGAATGAAAATAGACCTAAAACTGTCCCTAACCATAATGCGTTTTCACACAGAAACTGTCCGTTCCTGGTATTTTTGTTGATCTTGTCTGGACAGACTCACGGGTCGGTATTCTTCGGTTCAACCAGGAACCTTTTGGTAACAATTGGTGTCAATACTTTCATAATAAAATTACATAATTAACCTATATTATATGTTATTGTCAACAGAGTTTTATTGACAAATATTTTTCACAAAGAATGTTATCTTTGAAACACAATAGAAAAAGTACATTCTGGATTATTTGGTGTAAATTAATTGCACTCTGATCATTTGAGCCAGTTAAATAAGATATTAAAGGTGCATTCCTCACCTGTCCAGGTGGAGCCCTGCTTCTTGTGATGTCATAGTTTTGGTGAGAGAAGACTTCCCACAGATTTATTCCATCTAACTTATTGAAGCAACATTCTTGTTTCTAATGTTAAAGAAAGTTTGTGCCAAACTGTAGAAAATCCAGTTTGGCACAGGGGCGACAGTGGCTCAGTTGGCTTCAGGCCTTTGGGCCTGAAGGTTGTGGGTTCAAGCCCACCACACTTAACGACTCCCACTGATGTCTGCTGCCATTGTGTCCTTGGGCAAGACACTTAACCCCACTTTGCCTGAAGCCCCCACTGAAGGATCAAGGCTCCTGTGGACTCACCACCTGCAGGAGGATCAGTGAGGTGTACTGGGTGCAGCTCTGACTGCCACCCCCCGCCCAGAATTGGATCAAGGGGAAGAGGATAGATGGATTGTTCTGTCAACATTTCCTGAACAATTCCTCAGTTTGAGATAAAACTGAGGAACACAGAGCATCCACCTGAGGCTCAAAGGTCAGTTTGTGGTGGTCACTGACCTCTGTCACTGGTGGTGGCAGGTATCTGTCCTGGTCCCCCACTTCCACCTGGAGAGTTAAAGGAGTGGAGCTCCTGAAGTCATTGCAGGAGATCCCTGCAATGATTTGTGACATTGATAAATAGGATGATTGGCACAAGAATACGAGCCGTTTAGAGGAAATACAAATACAGTGTCATCCGCAAACTGTGCCAGTTTTTTTCTTTTGCACATGAACGGCACAACGACACAACCTTGAGATAAACCCATGGACGCACAGTTTTTCTATAGTCCAGGGGTCCTTAAACTAACCCCCCCAGGCACTCTACCACCCACCACTTGAACCGGCCATGGAATATTTTCTAAAACATCTTTTTAGCAAATAGCTTTAAGTAAACCTGGACAAGGAATCATAAAATGACAATGTTTATACTGCAGTGGTCCTTGTTTACTCCAACATCATCATAAAACCGCAGGTGAAACATGACAGTTATACAGCAGCAGTGACAGCAGTGATTAGTTCAGAGGACTGCCGTGGTCTATGAAGCAGAGAAAGAACGTTCCAACTTTAGCGTGTTAGCTTACAGCTAACATGAAGAAGCTGCTACATACAAATGAACATACAGTGGTGGGTTTTACAACATTTGTAAAGAGCTTTGTTACTGTGACAAATGACCATGGATCTATATTAAAATTTAAA